TTACCTTTAAGAATTGTAGATGCAACATTCTTGTCTGTCTTGGATTATGGTGATGTTTTATATGCTCATACTGTCTCTCAGTGTCTTCTTGCTTTGGATTCTGTTTCACAGGGCTCTGAGATTCATCACAAACTTAAAATCTCTCTCTGTCCACTGTATTCTCATTTCGGCTGCTTCTACCTTTCCATTCACTGTTTGATTCATTGGGATCTTTTTACTTATAAGGCAGTATTGGGACTCCATCCTCCTTAGCTAAACATTTATATCCACCAGAGGCCTGCAGGGATTTTTTACCAGCAGTCACAGGCCTGGTTTTTACTGACGGTTCCTAGAATCTGCACAGATTCTGGCAAAAAATCTGTGTGTCATTGCTTTTAAGCTGCTTTAGAACCTAGGTTTTCAATTTTTAATGTTGATGTTGTTGTTGATCAGTGAGAGTGTGTCTCTCTCTAAGTGACTACTTAGAACTGTGCTGCTGCCATTTGCAGGACATTCTTTTAAAAAAGAGATTTCTACTCTACAAAAGCCGCTGTTATGAGCCACAGTCTGAAACAAAAGCCTTGTTTTTCTACAAATGTGCAGCCTAATCGTTCCTCTGATTATAGAACAATAACCTCTGTATACTTTCTGCTGTTTAATGACTTTCTTCTGCAGGAGAAAATAGGTAAGAAATGAGTCAATAAAAAAAGAAAATCCTGAATGTTAGATGACTTATGGATTAAATATCGCTTTGAACTTTAATGAATATCTGACAAATCATCCCCAGACTTTACCTACATTCATCACCTACAGCCCAAAACGCAGATCATGTTTAAAAGAGCAACAATCTCCCAACTGGGAGTATTGTAGATTGGTGGTTTGATATTGAAAAGGGAGAGTGACAAGATGCAAAAATACGATGTGGAAATCTGTTGTGTTTTGTTTGTAACTGTTACGGCCAGTAGCCTTTTCTGTGTTTGTTTGTTGTTTTCAGTGGCTAATTAGATTGACTCCACCTGGAAGTGGGTGCGGCCCTGCTCGTCCTGTCCTACATCCTGAGGCCTACGGTGATTGGGTCATCAATTGCCGGCTCCACCAATCACTATTGAGGCCTCCCTTTAAGAACCAAGGACATCCTGGGAGAAGGTGCGGCTGTTTCTTTTGTTTAGACAGCTTGCCACTTTGTTAGGTGTTTCACTGCTGTAAGCTTGTGCTGCTAGCTCTGATCACCTTTGTTAGCTTTGATAGCTCGTGTTACTCTTGTTGTCCCTGTGAGGGATCTTTGAACCTCTGTTAGAGATTTGTAGTTTGCTTTGTGTACCCTGTTCTGAAAGTCCATTTTTGTTTGGTTAAGTTCTTTGGTTTACAACTGATTGTGTACTTTGTTTTGTTTAGTACTTTTTTTTTGTTGTATGTCCCTACATTTTGACTATTGTTAATTTTTACCCTCTTTATTTTGTTGAACCAAACAATAAACCTCTAAATTGTTAAAACCTTACCACCTAGGTTTCTTTAATGTTACTTCCCTTTCCCCTGGCTGAGCCGGGTTGTAACAGTAACACATTAGGAATATCAATCAGGTGATATTTAGCTATAAATATTACAGTTCACATCAATATGCAATCTAATATGTCACGGTGATAAATGAGGAGAAAGCAGTGTACAAGAGGCTCAAATTTGCTGAAGTCAACCACATTTGCTGATGTTTTCAGTGACATTTGAGATCTTGTGTTGACTGCCTCCACAAAATCCCAAATCATCTCCACCAGATCCAGATGAAAGATGTCTTAAACAGTCTTAGTCTGTAAATTGAAGTGTTTTGCATAAATTTGAATTGCTATAAGATAATGAGGAGTGATGTGTGCTAAGGAGTTTGCAACATTATTGCTCCGTGTCTCTGGTGTGTTTAGGAATATAACCCAGAACAAAACTGTGTGGCTTCAGCACTGAACAAAGGAGCTGCACTTTGTCTTTGTGGAGCTTGTGTGTTAATGTTTCAGTTTCATCACAAAACCACTAGAAAATATCACAGACTACAACTTTACAGTTTTCATTCTCTCATAGTAAGAAAAGGCCTTAAAAACATTTTTCAGTATCTCTTTGTTGTCAAACTGCTGCTTTACATGTCTTGCTCCTAAATGTTCACAGTTTGGTCAGAGTCAAATACTCTTTTAAAATGTTTTCCAGATTTTTACTACATGTTTATTATCAGTGGCTGTGAGACTTAAAAAATCCTGTAGGAGGCACAAATAAAAATCTGTCCACATTTCCATTTTCTGCACAAGGTGTCCTTTTTTTCCACTTTAGCATCTGTCTTCCAACATGTCTGTGCACACCCCTGCTAACCTTGGACACTTCCTACACACCAGATGATTTTGTGTATTATGTATACAAATTGCTGAAAATCCACCATGGACCCATGAGCATCTATTTTATAGTCATTTGAAAATAGCCAGTCATTATTCCTATTTAGTCGATAAAGATATATTTAAAATTTGACTTTTTGTTACATTTTTTTGCACAAATTTAGAATAATTAAAGATGGTGAAAGTTAGTCTTGTTCATGCTAGTTGATATTATCCAAATTCCAAAACTTTTCAACCATTATTGTATAAATTTCAAGTTTTTGTGTCTGTCCAGCTTTTACTTTTCAACAGTTTTTGCATTTTGGCAAAAGGAAAGACAAAACTGTTGAAATTTTACTTTTGTTGCTTCATCAGTGTCTTTTTTCCTCATAAATAAATAATTCACTTATGTTGAATTGAAAAAAAAACTGATGCCATGTCAGCAGAAGAATCACATTTAATTAGCCATCTAGATGCCAGTTTAACACATTTTTTTCTTTTTTCAATTCTTAAGATAAATATCGGTGAAAGAAACATTTAGTGATTTTTTCTGACTTTCCTGCTAACGAACTGGCAGTTTTTGCACACCGAGTTTTAATTAAAGTCGTCATTTTCTCACTAAAATAAAAATGTCAAACTTTTCCTTCTAATTAAAGGATTCCACTCATTATGCCATCAGGTTTTCTTTTTCTCTGATCAGGCCTGTAAATCACATTCTACCAGCATCGGGAAGACCGTTCTGTCCGATAGGGAAAAGTTTTGTGTTGGTTCTGCAGCAGAGCCACCATGCTCCCGACTGTCTGGGAGCCTTGGAGCTTCCTTTGAGGTAGTAGGAGAAGAAAAATCCCTGAGCCTGACTAAATGTTCAAAATAATCACACCCATTACTGCAGGACTCTTTCAGTTTTCATTCTATCAAAGAACTGGTGCAGTTTTAATTGATATGTCTGCAGCAATATTTGAATTATCCCCTACAAAGAAATACCCATCTGATGGTGTCTTTTAAATCATTTGAGGTGAACTACTACCGTTCTCTGTCACCAAAGTAGATGCATTTCGTGGATGTACTTTGATGTAGGATGTAATAGTTTTTTGCCACCAAAAGTCTCGTAGTTTAATATTTTATTCCAAATTTTATGCATAAATGATACTTTAAATCTTAAGAATTTGAATAAAAAGCTCAATTGAAAACAAACGTAGCAAGCGAAGTACTAATTTATATCAAGCAAACCTCTTACATGTAATAATGTAGTAAATAATAATGTAGTAAATGGAAATCAATGAACTGATTTACATTTACACTTTACAAGAATATCTGCACAAGTCTGCATAAAGGTTCCATCGTAAATTATCTACACAGGAAAGTTTGCAAGAATGCTGTTAGTCCCAATGATTTTTTTGCATTTTTTTTCCACTTTAAAGAATAGTGCCATGCTGTCAATATAATCTCTCTCTCACAAGTTAATCTAATCTACCTGAAACATTGTGTAAGAATTGTCAATATTGGATGTTGACATTTAGATTTTTTTATATTTTGATTTTTGATCAATTATTTTGTTTGTTTGACTGGATCACAGTACATGTCATTGTTCTCATTATTAGTTTTTTTATAGTTTTTGAAGCTGCTGTCACCACTTTAATTGAGACTCTGAACTGTGGGTTTCTCCTGGTTGAATAAAGAAGGAATAAAACATTTTTTTAAAAGTGTATTGTGCTTGCACAGATTGGTATTGAGGATGATATGGGTAGGGTAGAAGTATTGCACGGCAATATGATTATTTCATTGCACCTCATAAAATAATCAAACTGCCCGTTGAGTAAGTACAGACAAATACTGAATCTTCATGTGTTCTGAATACCAGAAGTTAATTGTGGAAGATAAACAGCACCTTTGAAAACTGACCTGTTTAACCTTCTAATGTAATTGTGATGTGGCGTAAAACAAAACAAAATCATGATAAAATATACGAACAGTGTTTTGTTTTGTTTTGAAGTACGTTTCACCTGAAGGACTTGCACCATGGAGTGACAGGAAGCACTGTTGCCTCATAGCAAGAAGATGGTTTGTTCAAATCTCAGCTGGAGCCTTTTTCTCTCAAAAGTCTGCCTGTTCTGCATGTGAATGAGTAGAGAATATGAAAACATGCATGTCAGATTAAATCGTCCCTCTAAATTGACCTTAGTTGTCAGCGTGGGCATGCGTGTGTGTGTGTGTGTGTGTGTGTGGGGGTGTGTGTGTGTGTGTGTGACGTGATGGAACTGAGTAAATCCCATTCCAATGTAAAACTGCATAGGGACAAATGACTAAAATATGTTTGGAAAATTCCTGCTAATGCATGACAGACTAACTTGTGTTTTAATTTAAATTACTTTTAAAAGAAATAGATGTTGAATAAAATAAAATGAGGTAGTGTTAATTACATTAAAAGCTATGATTTTTTTTATTTTTCATGATTAGGTTGTTTTAACCTCCAACTAATCTGTTTTGGAATCTGCCGAACTCTGACAAGCTGTTAGCTTGACGGTCAAAAGGCCTGTTTATCCAGAGTAAGACTCTTCAGAGTGTCTGCAGCAGGTGAGACACTGAGCAGAATGTGGAGGGGCGTCAACGTGCCCTTGACTTATTATAGTTGATAATTCTGTTTTTAGGGATCAAAAATACTCAAGTCTTTTCTTTGTGTATTATTTATTTTTTGTGTTACAGGCATACTGCTTTCATTTCTATGTTTTGCTTACATTTCATACAAGTATGAAAACAAACTTGACTTCATGGCAGAGATGCTTCCGGCTGGACTTGTATCGTTGAGGGTTTTTACCAGACGTATTTGACCAACTTCAGCATCTTCAAAATGTCCAGCAAAACTCCACATATTCTTAAAATCCCTCTCATGGTCTCCTTCCAACAATAATCCCTGCGCAAACGTTGTCAAAATGTCCTGATAAGTGATTCACACGCCGACGGCAGGCTTGAATAAGATTCCCTATTTTCTGCTATCACTATGCTACAGAGCCCTTGAATTTTCATCTTTTGACAGCTTTTTAATCTTGTGCGCACATGATAGAAAATATCACAAAGGGAACTTGAGGATCTCTTTTAAAAAAAAGCTGTAACAAAGAAACATTTTTCTCGGCTCATGATGATTTGAAATGCTGCAGAAGTCGTCATAAAATTAAAATATAATGTTTCTATATTTCTCCTGATTCTTCTTCACCATTCATTTACTCTTTATAGAAGACGGTACATATATGTGTGACCATTAGACTGTTACTAGTGTATGCATTGGTTTATAGATTTGTGTTTGATTACCCAATCAACAACTCAAATTGGTGGTAATTGTACAAAATCAGCTTTGACATCAGTCATACTCACCACAATGGGACTAAATAAAACCGCCTCTCTAATTTATGCTAACACAGTTTCAATTCAAGCAGTTTCAGCGTGCACCCTTTGAAAGTCATGGAGGAACTGACAGATCATCCCGAACAGCTCCTGGGAGTCCTGATCCAGTGGTTCTCCAAATTTAACCTACACATAATAATAAACACAAAAAAATATGAAAATAACAAGATTACTTCTTTGAATATTCAGCTTGACAGCAATTACACTTCATGAGACCTTTGGGTCTGCAAAAACAGTTTAAGAATTAATAACTACATTTACTTTCATTAATGATTTGGTGTCTGGGTAGTGCATGTTCTTTCTGTTCATGGCTTTCTGATGTAATTAGCTCATACGCTGCTTCAGCATGCATTCATGTTCTTGAGTGCACTCGTACAATGAGGAAGTTATGTACCGCCTAATTAATACTTACCCCGCGGTGGTTAAGGGTCACCGGCACTGGAATTTCTTAAGTCAAACTTTGTCCTGAAAGGGTCACAGTAGCAAACTCTGCTAATTGACTTATCGAATGCTGTTGCAACAGCACAGACTGGGGCTCAGACCTGAGCTCCTCTGATATTTATTGTACTTTTCCCTCTACTAACTTTTATAAATCAAAAGTAAAAATTAACTCTTCATAAAGGAGAGGAAAATGTTTTTAGTTGACATGCTGACTGTCTTGCATTAAGCTCAAGAAAAGCTGCAGCAGAGACATCATCCTTTATAAATACACAAACAGTACGAACAATATCAAAGATCATTCAGCACTGCGGGATTCCTTCAGAATAAGAACCTGCTCTAAAAGCATTGCTCTGTCAGACACATAATCCTCAATAAAAAACAAATTGTTGCCCTTTTTGCCTTTAACGTTCAGCCCTTTAACAATGTGCTAATGGATAAATGTTTCTAAATTATGTCCAGAGTTCTTGTTGACCTATTTGTAGTGGAATTATTATCTTCCTCTGTGTAAGAAGGAAATATTTTCTCATATACCTGATATTTCTGCCTGATTTCATATTTCTGTGGGGAGGGGCGGAGGGGGGAGAAACAACAACTTATTCTTGTATAACACTTTGTCGAAACTCCTTTCATTATGTTAACTTCTTTGGACTCAGTCACACATGTCTCTCGCATCTAAATACAGGTATTTCTGATTATTTCCTTCTGAAAAGATATTAGATAAGATATTAGATAGAGAACATCTGTGAGCATCAGTTGGCAAGTCTTGACAAGCATATCTTTGACTAGGCCATTCTAACACATGGATATTCAATCATCTAAACCAGTTCATTGTAGCTACAGACATGTTTGGAGTTGTGGACATCCTGGAAGGAAAATCTGATTTTCAGATTTTTTACAGCTTCTAACTTTTTTTTTTAAACAACAAATATTTTTGTGTTTTAGTTTTTATTAGCCCATCAATGTTCTTTAGAAAAACTGCAGAGAAGAAGCAAGTCCATGCACGTCATGACTCACGTTTCCTTGACCTTTCCTGATTAGTATTTTAAACTGCACAATAACCAATTAAATATTTTTTTCTGAATATTGTTGTGCACCATTTGTTTGAGGAGATTTTTCCTTTTTCTTAAAAAAGAAAGTTATCTATATTTAAGGTAGCAAAGATGCCAAATACCAATTTATGCTAAGACATTTTGCAGAAGTGACAACTAATTTCAAATTGATAAGGTCTTTGTTTTTTCAGACAATAAATGTTTCAGGTTATCTTTTTCCCTCATTCATAATAAAACAGTTATTTGATGCTGTGTGAAAGCTTCTCCGTTTATCAAAGCCCTATTGTCTGTGGATACTAGAAATAATATTTTTATGAAATGGAAAAAGAAGCACAATATCCTTATTTTATTTAAATTGGGTTGTCTCAATTTACTCCATGTGATAAATAAAAGACAGCATTGCTTGTGTTTATCTGCTAAAAATGCAGCACACTTTATGGAGATTGCATTCAATTATGTATTTTATGTCACTTTTAGTGTCAATACATCAAATAAATAAAATATTTCTGAGAATTTTTTTTACTTTATTTGCCCCAATCTCCCTGTTGACTATATCCACTATTATGCTCACTATAAAAGGGCATTGACATGTGACAAAATGTTTCAGATTCTTCATTCTCCGAACTAAAAGGTGCTTCCCTCACAAGTGGGTCTGAACTTCCCCCTCCACCTTTTAGGCACATCCTTATCCTCAGCTTTAGCACACAGGAAACAGGAATACTAATGGCCAATGGGAAAACAAATAAGCTCCTAGGGTGCTACAGTAGCAAAAGTCAAATGTTAAAGTGACAGGGGCATGAAAATCTGAGAAATTAGACAGCAATTTTCAAATAACAAGACTGCAGTGGCAGAATGCTGATGCTCAAACACCAGCAGGTACGATGCCATATTTTGGTCACTCTCCCTGGTGATTAACATATAACTCTTTCCCTGAGGAAAATTTTTCAGTTAAAGGTCAACCTGTTAAACGTTTTAAATGTCACAGCTATTGTGCCACCATTACTAATAACACTGGGATAACTGATTCAAGATAATGCTCATGTAGCACTTAAAAACATTATATTTTAGGGTGAAAAGTTTTGAGTAAAGGAAATAAAAAATATCTTGTTACCATTTGGATTAATTTTACTTTCTACTTTTTTCAGCAACTGCTTTATGATTTTTTTCCTACTGCTATTGAATATCTACCTTGCCATTCAAATGCATAGACAGAAAAGCTGCCTTGGGCAAATAATGTTCCAGCATTATCTTCCATAACTAAAAAAAAAGTTTTTCTCAGGCTGTTAATTTGTCTTTAGGTATAGAACAGTAAATAATCAGAGGTGGTTATATTACAGCAAAACTAGCCATTTTTAGCAACAGTTTGCAACTTAAGTAAATCAGAGCCGGGGACACAAAGATGCCAAGACTTATTAAATCCAATTTTTGATTAAGATGTTACAAACTGGCTATAATGGCCTGTTTAAAGCATTACTTGAGAAAAATTAGGGAAAGGCGGTGGCTACAAGAATGTTACTTACAGACTGCTACTCATCTTCTTTTCTACAAGCTTGCTGAGTGCTACTCTGAGCTCAGTTTGCTAATTTGGCTTTTGTGAAACTGCCACTCTGTAGATTTTCTTTCACATCATTAACTTGCTTCAAATGTTACTGAACCCAGCTTGAAAAAGAATGAAGTGGCTGAGCAGGAGTAGCATTGAAATTATTTAAAAGAAAAGCCTTGTTAGGTACTCCTGTGGCGTCTTAATTAAAAAATATGTGACCATCCACACCTGTGAAGTTTGAGCACTGATCACTGCGGTTCACCGCTTTTCCTAAAGCCTTTAGAAAGTCTTTGTAAAATTATATATTTTTATGTTTTTGTAATCTGCTTTGTAATTTAACAATTTATTTTAGACCAAAGCAGGATGTGTTGCTTTTTCAGATTTCTTTGAGGCTATGTCACGTTGTCAGGCAGATATTTTATTTCTTGATTATGAGGGTCTGATGGTAGCTAGTGACAATAGATAACATGGATGTGGTTATTCATTGTTATTTTATGCCAAAAGTAACACTGGACACAGTTTGTCCAGATTTTTCAATGATAAATTAAATCGCCATTTCCAAACTGCATTTTGTAAATAACTAGGATTATTATTGTCTAAATGAAAGTTCCCTGATAAACCCATTGTGGCAAAAACTAAATGTGGAAAAATGCATTATACATCTTCTCTGGTTAAGTCCATTTTCTTTTTTTCTTTTTTTTTGCCTAATTACATTTCCTCCAAACTCAGAACCTCTCTACGGAGGCTGCTTTTAAATCATCTAACCTTCACTCAGTTTATGCAAATATTAACCTGCTAACCTTTCCAGAACAGAAAGCTTGCTTTCAGGAAGTGTGATATTTGCACCCAAATCCACCGAGTGGTTTCTGAGCTTTGCTCTGTGATTACTTTACCTTGGAAAAATCCATTGAACCTTTATGACACTGATTAAGTCCTCATATCAGATCTGTCATGTTATAAAGGAAGTGAGCACTGGCTGTTAACTTTATTAAGCCTGGCCCTCACCCTCAACCACATTTTTTAAAAATTGTATATTTTAATTTGACCTAATTGAAGAGTCACGACAACTCATAATTAACCCACATGCATGGCAGTAAGTAGGTCTACCAATTATCAAACACCAAACGTGGACACAATTTTTTTTGTTTTTTGTTTTGGCATTTATTTTTTTCTAGTAAACGTACCTCAGCATTTGCACAGGCAGTTTTTTCATTCAAATGTATTACAGAATGGAACAAACTCCCATAAAATCTTAAGCTTTCCGCTGACATGAAGGACTTTTCTCGTAATGTCACAAAGCGGCTCTCAGAAAACCAGCAGTGTTCACATTGAAAAATAATTCTCTGCATTAGTGATTGCAGAGCAGAAGTTTGGCATTAAGTATTGATTATGTCATATTTTTATGACCTTGCATAGTGATTGTATGTAGGGTATTTGGAGACTTTCAGTGAATGTTTTATGATATTCGACTTGCTCATCTGCTCAGGGACTGCAGATGGAAACTAGCTTAAGCTAAATCTGGTGCAAAGCATCTGTCATTAATGTTTTTTTGCACATTGTCCTTGTTTTTGATAAACTAATAAGATAAACTAAACAGTCAATATGCTGTACACTTTCTTGGCTAATGTTAAGAAAATATGAAAACCACTTGTCCTGAAATCAAAATGGAACAGCTTTCTTATTTCTATTTTGTTTTGTTTTTCTGGTGTCGTTTCTAGGCTCTGGAACACTAATTGTTAGAAAGACCCAGACCTTGATTTAGAAGCAATCTGAACTCAGAAAATTATCAGAGGATGATTTTGCCCAGGTTTCCTGATGAGTTGCATAACTCAATAAAGTCAGAAACTAGTTTTAGTTGTACTGAACTGAGACTTCATGGTTTTTACTATTAAATCCTAAAAAGCAAACATGCATGTTGAAGCTCATTGAACTATTTTCTTGAACTTGCCAAGGTTTCAGAATTTTGTTCGAGAGCCACCAAATAAGCTCATCCATCAGCAGATAAAAAGAGCTACATAGAGAGACGCTGACAGTCCCTCTGCGTCCACGTCTATGTAACTGTGTGCAGTGCAGAGGAGACTTTCAGTGGGTGTAATAATAACACAATTCCCTTGCAGGCCTAAAGCTCCATCTTGCACCATCATATCTCAGTCTTCAAATACAGCAGGAAGGGTGAGTGGACTCTATGATGATAGATTGTCCTCAGACATACAAAAGTGATGAGAAACTTGCAGCTACTTTTTGTATTGATTGTTTTTTTGTGGGAACTCTATAAGAAAAAGCCATGGCACCAGTTAAGGTGTCAGTAGTGGGACTGAGCTGTAGAAGCCTAATCGTGGCGGTTTAGTGAGCAAAGAAAATGTTCTTCTTAATAGAAGGAGTGATGAAAGATTACAAAGGGAGCAGCGATTCCACTAAATCTGATCTATGTGACAGAGGAGTTTGCTTTATGGGAGATTTCTTGTTGAGATGAATGTTCATAGGAGACGGCGGTTCACAGACAGACTTATTATGAGATATCACTGTTTCTAGAGGCTGATTCACATCAGAAATACTCCATAACCTCTACAGAGGCTTTTTGGAAATGACCACTGAACACAACTATAGCAACATGTGAAGTGGCTTAAAACACATACAGTATAAAAAAATTGGAAAAGTGTGATTAGCCTCTTTTACTGTAACACATTGACATAAAATTCAGTGCAACTCACCGCTTTTAAAAAGAGATGTGAATCTTTCAGCATCTAACGATTTGATTCCAATTTTTAGGGTCACGATTCGATTCAGAACCAATTTTTGATTCAAACCAATTTTTCTATTCAAATAGTTTAGAGATTCTGTTTAAATGATGTGAATGAAATAAGAAAAGACTGCAAAGTAATAGGACACAAACACAATTATATAATGGTTGCACAATTATTATTCAATCAGATCAAAATAAGTTTGTGCATAAAATTCTTTACCTTAAATTACCAGTACTAGGTTAGCTTATCTTCCTGGTTTTTTCTTAAAAAACAATAAATATCAAAGAATTATTCAAAATACCTAGAGTGGGTAAGACAACCTCCTACTGTGGTGAAGTGAACACATAATGCAATATGTTGTATACTCACAAATAGAAGCGACTTAAACGCATCTTTAAATCGATTTTTGAGCATTTGGAATAGGTTCAGAATTGTAGTTTTGTGTAGAATTGACTTTTTTACCGCACCTCTGCTTTTAAATGTCTCCAAGTAAAGTAGTAAATAGAATCCAGTGGAGCTCAAGACCAAAAACAATGTTCTGGAAATACCTTAGAAGTTAGTGAAGAACAGTGGTAAATAAAAAGCATTGTGAAGACAAAGGAACACAGCAGACATGTGGGGATGAAGTTATGAAGAAGTTTAAATCCAGGTTAGGTTAAAAGCATAGTATAATTGCAAACCAACAAGAAAGATTGCCTACCTAACCCAGCAGGCTGGGCAAGGAGAGCATTAATTTGAGAGCAAAAAGCTGATGGTGACTCTCGAGGAGCTGCAGAAATTGAGAGCTACACAGTCCATAAATCTGGCCTTCATGAAAAGTAGCAATGGAAAGCCATTATTAAAATAAAACTATATAAATCCCCTTTGCAGCATGGCACAAGCCATGAGGGAGATGCAGCCACAATGACAAAGAAAGTGTTTTCTTCAGTGGAGACACAGAAGTTGGTCAGAGTTGATAGGAAGATGGATGAAGCAAAGTAAAAGTTTATGCTGGAAGAAAACCTTCTATAGGCTGGGATGCTGCAGGCTCACCTTAAAGTAGGACAAACAACCTAAACATCCACCCAAAGCTGAAAACGTTTAAAGTATTCAAGTATTTGCTTTGATCTGATGATTCAAGCAATAAGAGGCTGGTGCAAATGCACTCACAAAAAAAATCGCATTGAAATACCAGAAGTCTAACATGTCAAAATGTGAAAAAGACCAAGGGGCATGAACACTTTTGCAAGGTACTGTAGATTTAACGTTACACGAATGCAGTTACAATAAACACCATATAATATGCATTATGAACACCTGGTGCTACAGACGTAACCTTCCCCCCCTTTGAAATATATGTAGCTGTGACAGCGTAGCATCGGGGAGATGAGGTGACAAATAATTGAAGACAGCAATCTAGAAACTACCAGGACGGGGGGCGGCGGGGGCATCCATCCTTGGAGCTGTACAAAAGAGAGATTGAAATAATAACTCAGGGATTACCAGTATGACAGAGTAGAGTTTCTTCATCTCCTCACAAGTCTTTGTCAGCGACTCGAGTTGCAGGTTGTACTTCTCTATTGCCATCTGCGATACGGAGGAGAACACAAGGAGTTTGTGAGCAAACCACACACACCTCTATTCATTGTAAAGCTGATGTGATTAAAAAAAAATAGCAAATTTGAAAATCTAATAAAAATTCAGTGATTTAAAGATGTTAGCATAGAAAGTCAGGAACTACAAAAACTACATATTTACTCTTTTTAAGATTATGTGAAAAAGTGGGAATAACTCCAGCACAGTGCATCACATCAAGTAAAGGAACTTAAATTTATCTATATTCTCCAACTTTACATTTAAATAACCATCTACTCTGACATTTGTTTTGCCCATTTATGAACATTTCTAAATATTCTCATGATATAAAAGGGCGAAGCTATTAGCATCACATAGCCATTTATTTGCATTTAACACAGTAGAAAATAAATTCCTGCAAATTATGCCTGAAAGAAAAATATAACCTCCTACAGAATAAGAGATATGATGCAGGTCAGAAAGATGTAAATCAACATCATCTTATGATGCATTGCCAAAGCTGCCTGCTCAGCACAAAAATACATAGAAACAGAATTAGATGTTTGTTTTTTTCTGATGTATAGTTTCTGACAGCAGGTCTAGTCTGCTGCCACATGACTGAAGCAGCCCGTAATACTCAAGTTTGTTTTTGTCTCTCTGCAGAAATTATTCAAAGGAGTTTTAAAGTTTCACCAGGAATCTTCCCTATCCCCTTTCTTAGCCATACAAACTTGTGCTGGTGACGAAATTCAACTTGTGTTCACCCCCAAAGAATGAATACATGAATGTCTTGTAGACTGAAATCCATTGCAGCTTATTTGAATTGTAAGATGCTATGCAGTTTGTTCTTATTTCCTGAATAAGTCATAATAATCTATAATTTCTTGGTACCTGTCGATTTTAGAGGATGTCGGTGAGGCTGCATAATGTGTGGACAAACATAGAGCTGCAAAATATTGAGATGCTTATACATGTAAAACGGCCTAACAGATCCTGCACCAAAACAGTTCTTGGGAATTGAGATACTGTAAATATTGATATTGCAAAGATGAGTGAAATATTGTGTAGCTCTAAGAGATTATGATTTACCAAAATGAGAAGAATGCACAGTGTTGATATTAATATCAAGACAATAAATACAAATGCAACCATGATAAATAAAAAAGGGACTTTGAATGTTACTTAAAATAAAACTTTGCAGCAGCTGGTGTATCAGGCCTTGGGTGTAAGTTTTTGTTTCAGTCTTATGCTGTTATGTGATTCTTACTTTTATATTTTGTCTCTTTATAATATACAGTGTAATTACATGTGTAATTACATGTGTAATAATGCTGATCAAACAAAAATCACAAGAGGTTCCTCAAGGCTCTAATCTCAGGCCACTTTCATTCAACAGCTAAATGATGCCGCTATAGTTCAGATTATGGAGGCCTGCTATATTTCCTGTAGTATTTATGCTATTAACACAGCCTGCTATTTTATTTTATTTTATTTTTTCATTAATGGAAGTATTTTCCTATTGACTGTAGAGGGAACTAGAAATGACAAGACATTTCTACTTTACCTTAAGATCTTTAGTGAAGTTTGGGTGATGAGCTGCAATGTTTCTCTTCCTGATGGTTTTTCTGTAATGAAGTACTTTCTGCACTTCGTTCTTCAGCACTGCAAAAACATAACATCCTCAGCTCAGACCTTATGGAAAAACATCATAATGTTTTGACAAAATATACTGAAATACAATGAAGATGTAATGCTTTCTCACAACTCCACCTACAGCAGTTTCAGCATAGTGAAAACCAGTCTTTGGATATTGTAGTAAAATGTGATCTACTCACCATCCACTTCTGCGGTCAAGCCTTTGATGGAAGCTTTCCAAAGGAGAGGGGCAGAAAAACACCAACAGTGGTATTAAATATAAATGTACGTTTCATTTAACAGCCCTTAACTCAAAAGCACCCCACAGATTTTTTTTTTCTGCTGCTGTTTTGATCAAATCTTGACGAGCGAATACCTCCAGGGACAGTTTCAAATTCTGCCAAGTCCTGGGTAAAAGTGGCCAGGCCCGGTTCCTGCAACATGATCTGCTCCAGAAGGGCATGGAGCAAGGTGAAATTCTTGTCCCTCCCACGCAGCTGGGAAAGCTGGAGATAAAGAAAAGGCAGACTGAAGGTTGGAAAACATACCGGCTGACTGAAGGCTTTTATTCCTTTTTTGTTTCTGTAATAATTTGCAGAAATTATTATTTTTTTTGTGTGTGCATTTACAGTGTATTGACAAAGATGGGCACATCCCACTGCATTTTCAAACACTTAAAAGCAAATATTTGATTAGAGGGCAATCTTGTACTTTAACCCACCACAGAAAGTTAAAAAGTAGCTGTTAAATTATTCATTCAAAAATATATTTAAATATAGATACAAGTATAACCAATGCAATATTCATCTGTGGAATAATTAAATAAATTCCCCATCAGAAGCTGGGATATATATATATGATGTTGTTGGTCTTTGCATAATTATCAATCAGTGGAAAATACTGCAAGGCAAAATGCTGATTTCTTTGTAGATTTGCTAATGTGTTTAACATCATTATATTTTTCTAAGACTGTTGTGTTGTTTTGAGAACTATGTTGAAATAAAATGCTTTAATATATAAGACTGGATTTGAAGTAGATGGTGAGACACAAGGTGCCCATATAAACACATGCAGCACTTAAATTTGGGTTATATTGTGATCACACTGAAAAAAAAATCTACTTTTTTGAGTGCATTTGTTTAGTATGGAAGAAATCCAACATTAGAGAACTTTAATAACTTCTATCTAAGAATGTGCCTGTAATTATCTTTCTTTATTTAAACTTTTCTTTCATTTGATTAGTGTTTCAGAACTTTTACTTAGTAATTAATGAGTTCATGTTTCCCTGGGGAGTTGGCACCAGCACCCCTCCCGACCCCAAAAAGGGACAAGGGTGTAAAGAAAATGGATGGATGGATGGATGGATGGATGGATGGATGGATGGATGGATGGATGGATGGATGGATGGATGGATGGATGGATGGATGGATGGATGTTTCCCTGGTGTATTAATGTGATGTAAAAAAAAAGGCTAATTTTTCTTAATTACAATTTAAAATGGGAAAACAAGAGAACATGCCATTCCAGAAAGGCAAATGCAAGTTGATCTTCAAAAAAATCCTAAAATGTCTACTGAAGAACAGTTCATTTCCTAAACTGCTGCTCATCGCATCGAGTCAAAGAAGAAATGTAGAAGTTTAAAGCAACGGGAATTATAAATACGTGAATACTCATGACCTTCATACTTGAAGGTTTGCAAAAAATGTGTGAAATTATACATATTTATACATATATTTGCCAGTAAGTGTGGAGGTACAAAACAAAACAGATGCCATAGTGTCCTAATATTGATAAATAAGAACCAAATTTGATGTGAATCATATAATAAATAAACAAAAAGATGATAGATTGTGAAATTCTACACTTTTTTTAATTAATGGTTGTAAGTCTGATAAAATAATAATGGTGATGCAAATTCAGCCATGTTCGGCACATAATTGAAATTCCTGAGGTAGCTCCCTTATCCTTTAACAAACTTTGTCCTTTTTTTCTTTCTAGGTTATGTTGTTTACCAGCTTAGGCCTCTGAGGGCTACATATGCAAGACCTGCACCAAGTATTGATGCTCACAGGAAAAAAAAAAAGATCTGAGATAACCTCGATGCATTTTCTTGAAAGCGGCTGGTCATTAATTTGAAGAGAGTCTGTCTTTAGCAGCAACAGTTTACTCTTCTCAATTAGACCTGGAAACACCTCTGAGGCAACACAAGGTCTCTGCTTTATTAAACGCAGCCGAGGACGCTTTACTTCTGTGCCCAGAACCCTGGTCCTCAAACTCCCCCAGCAGAGTCAGACTCCAAACAGTAGACCAAGTTAAATGCAGACGAATTAAATAAAAAGAACACCGGCATCACGTTGTCATAGAGAGAAAAAAAAAGTGCAGAAATTAACTAAATCAACCTTAAATGTATCCTTTCAGTTAAGAAGTACAACATCTTCAAACGGCAAGAAAAGACTTCAAGCTTAAGAGCTGAAAGCATATCAGTTGATGTTTGGCTCTAATTCTGCAGTAATAAGACGGCTTAGCCACCAAAACCACATCATAATATGTATTGTTGAAATACACATTCAGCTAAAAAAACACACTTCAAAAACACACAATAAAAAAATTGTGCTTGTCACATTCAGTTGTTTTTACATGTTCGCAGCGTGTTGAAAAACTATTTGACCTGATTTAATATAAAATGTCGTTTTTAAGTAGTAATTTTAGCTGTCAAAATAAAAGGTCTACCCAAAACAACCAAGTCCTCTGTGAAAAACTATTTGACCCGTAAAACTAATGAGCACTGAAAAATGTCATTAAGCATAACTAACAATGATTGTCATTTTCCCATCTCTTTGTAGACTTGTTTTAATTCATGGCTGCTCTTTTCATGAGCAGCCAGTTTAAGATCATCCCAAGACCCCACAGGTGGATAACACTCTGAACTTTGACTAGGCCACTCCAAAATCTACACAATATGTTCCTCTATAGCCAATCAGAAGTGGATTTTGTATAAGCCTATGGCCACGTTCTTCTTCAGGATATTATTCTGAAGCAGCAGGCAGTCCCAGATCATCACATTACCATCATCATGTTTCGCTGTCTGCTTATTGTTATTTTGAAATCCTGTTTTAGTTTTATTCTAGAGCTAATACGTTGCACACCTTCCAAAAAGTTTAACTTTTGTCTCATCATATTGTTAGAATATTGTCTTAAAAGTCTACAGGATTGTCATGATGTGTTTTTGAGATGGGATGGGTCTTTGAGTTTTTCATGCTAAGAATGGATGCTGTGTTGGTTTTTAAGGCTCCAGCTTCAAAGAAAAAAAAATATTCTTGCATTTGAAACTTACCATTTGTTCTTAACATATTTTGGGTGCTTTTGACTTTTTTTCTTAAAGATCGAAACATTTCATCTCTTTTAACCTTTTAATTTTCATATTAAACTTTAAAATTGTTTAAAACTGAAGATGTTTTGAAAACAAGATAAAAAGGTTTTCAGAGCAACAGTAGTGGAGCTCTAGGTGTCTCTTCAAATTGTTATACTGGTTAAAGATCAGATTTTTTTTCTTTTTGTAATGTTTTTTTTTTAAGTTTCAGAAACATTTATCCACATACTTTGATAACTCCAGGAAGTAAGAATACCAGGCAAAGGTTTCTTGGTGAAAATGTGAAACCATGATGTAATAACCATGAAATTTTTACCCCTAACCAGACCAAGTAAATTCACTTTTACTTGATGTAAAGATCCACAGGCTCGGCTGTATGATCTTATGCACCAAGCCACTCATGTTCTCATTTTGTGCCAAGTTTGATTTCTCTAGTGAAACCAGGCAGCGACACAGTCACAGTCCTGATTGAACCTACCTGGCCAAGAGAAAATGGCAAGATGCTCAGGGACCAGGCTGTGTATGTCAATGAGCAGAGTTATTAGGCAGAGGCGAACCTCAATCAAAGGTCAGACAAGAGTGTTGGAATCGTACTTTGGTCAAGGACGAGAGGCGGAATCCCTTGGCCTTTTCCTTTCCGGCGTTCTCGTTCAGGTAATTGCCTATAGCGAGGAGGTACTCCAGCACGAAAACAAATGACCTGGAGTTGTACAGCTGCTTGCACATTCTGATCTTCTGGTTAATCAGCTGCAAGAAAAACACAAGGAGCACAGACTAAAGTGATTTGTCTGTAATTCAAGCTCCTACGTCTCACTCGTTCATTTAGTCATAGAACAGCATTGAGACGTAGGAGCAGCATCAGGCTTTATAGACGCTACAGTAGTTTTGTTTCTATTACAAATTCTGTTGCAAAACCACGTTTACTTAGCACCAAAACTTCTTAACCAAAAACGAGTTGTTTTTTTTTTTAAATGTCGTTAACAAAAAATCTTTACACTACAAGCATAAACAGCCTTATCACAGCACCTCAACTGACCTCATAAAATGAATAATCAGCTTCTTGTTGTTGGGAAAGATTATTATTTGGTATGCATTTGTGTCAAGTACAAATATCCCCCCAGAATATCACACGATTTCCATGTTTAACCATCTCTGAACAGATCCTGTTGAATATGGATAGAAATCATGCTGGAGAGAAATCAAAGTGGGATTTTAGGTTTTGCCAACGGTGTATTAGAGGAAAAGGGGAGTTGGTGTTGTGGGAATTGCGCCACTCAATAAACTTTTTTTTTTTTTCCCCAACTCAGGCCCATGCCAGCCAGCAACAATCGTGCCATATGTTTCTATTTTAAGAGTAACCTCCCTACGCCTACAATTGGGACAGTCTCAATTAAACTGAGGAGAAAGCAGATATCCAGCTACATCGTATAAATTGGCTCCGAACTCGACCATCTGTGGAAAACCACTGAGCTTCAGCAACAATCAGATCAGCGCAAAATCACTAATGCTGTTTTTATTGAACCTTCCAAAGGTGTATGGAGGTCAAAGTGTATCAAATAGAGGAAAAAGTGGAACACATGTTTTTTTTTCTTTTCTATTTTATTGAAGCTTAATCATGCTGTTATTAATTTAAAGACAAGTGTTGATAAAAGCTAGCAAAAAGTTCATTTATAATAATTTTATTGAAATGTATCACAATTGAAGTTAAACTCCTATTTATTTATTTATTTATTTATTTATTTATTTATTTATTTATTTATTTATTTATTTATTTATTTCAATAGATTTTGATTTAAAGTACTCTTTGACTTAAAAATCCTGATAGAGAATCAGTGTTGGGAGTTAAAGCTTAGGGTAATGGCAAAGAGGCCTTCCCATCCCAGAGACATGGACCTCATCGCCAATTATAACTCATCAAAATGTTGGTGGAAACATTTAAAAAAAACATAAGTTGGTAGTAATACAAAGAGTTTGGCTGCTGTAATGTCAAAAATAATATTTCCATTGATTATCAGGGAGGGAATTAAATCATTTTTGATGAGTCATTTTTAATAAAATGTAACGTTTGTTTTACATTTAATTTTTTTGAGAAAGAGAGAGAGATCAAGATGCTCATATTTTCTATATAGCATTTTCTTTCAATGGGTAAAAAGCAGCATCAGTACTGCTCCATGTTGCTTTAAATTCACATAAATATAAATACTGTAAATGAACTGCTTAATTTGAATCTGTGATTTTACTACTACATTAAAGCAAATATAGATGCTCAAGCTTTGCTCTTTCCTGTGGCTCTGAATGCATTTCTCCATTCGGGTCCTGAAAATGTTGCACTTGGTTTTGCCGTGCCGTGCATCACAGCTTCAGGTGCCACCTTACTGTCTGCCGCATCATCAGCTTAAGCTGTGTGCCTTTGACATTTTCTAATACATTTGGCATCAAACTGGGCACATCAAATGGTTTAAAGAAGGAGTTGGGTCACAATGCAGACTAAAACCTGTCATCGTGGAAACAAGGGAAAAAAACCATCCCAGGTGAGAAGCATTCCCCTGGTTGGCGACTCTGTTCTCTCTCTGACAGGTGTCATGTAAATCATCTTAGTGTTCAGGCTTATGGACGTCAGTCCATGAGGATTCAGGGATTTAGAATATTTTGCAGCTAATAGGACACTAAACTTTGAGCACAACATACAGGGAAATACCGAAGATTAAGGATCAGGGTTATTTTTCCCCAAAGCACATGCATGCAAATCCCATACTTAAGATTGAGTGACCTTTCTCAAATAAATCCGAGGGAGGAGAGAGAAAACAACAACAGGAGCAAGGAGCCAGGAGTAAATTGAAACTTAATGAAATTGCTAATCTTTCTTCTCGAGTCATCTTCCCGGCACACAATATGTTTGTCTCTGTGTGTAAGACAAAGAAAAATTAGTATTGCAGTGAATGGATCACAGTGCCATCACTCTTATCCGCTGTTTCTCTTCATTTTCAGGCGGTTAGCAGACAGGAGATTAGGACTGAATCAGCAGAGCAGAAAGAAACAAAAGCTTTTGAGAGTCAAATAAAAAAAAATAAAAACGCAGGAGCTGGGAGGTATTTTTGTGTGACTGCAATATCTTCACAGCCTGCGGACCCCAATGCCAATAACAACAACCCTCTATGAGAATGTTAAAGATTACTTTGACTAATGATAAACTAGGAATGTTTGTATACTCCTATTGAACAGGGCTAAAAGATTTTTGTTTTAAAGAATATAAAGAAATTGTAACTGTTTATTTCACTCCACCTGGATTAATTTAAGTCTTTACTTGACTAGGGAGCAGAAGTTTGCAGACAAAAATGAAAGTCTCCACATTTCCCACAGTTAAAACTCCAGAGTGGGTTTTTATTGAGTTGAAAGCACTTTTCCGCCAACCACAGAACAATTGAACCTGATTTGATTAAGATCTATCTTTTCTTTTTGATCACAGAAGGGTCTGAAAGTGCCCCTCATACCTTTCTATTTTCAAGACTATTAACCAGTGAACAGAAAAAAAACTTACACTTAAATGACCCCTTCAGACATAAAAGTCAAAGTTAGAAGAAAAGCTTTCATGTAATAATTTCAACTCCTCCACAGATGTTCTGTTTTTTGTTTTACTTGTATCCATTTATAAAGTCATAATTAAGGTTTGCATTAGGGAATAAATGAGCTTTGTGTGTGTGTGTGTGTGTGTGTGTGTGTGTGTGTTTGCTGAGGAGGAAGACGGTTTAATTTTCACCTACAGCTGCTGTGCAGATCAGAATCTAAAGCATCTCCTGCTTATTTTACCCTTAAAGCTGAGTCCCGTTTCACCAGTAGCTCCTCATTTTTAGCCATCTGCCAAACATTTTAATGGGTCAGGTGTCCTTAGAAACTGCTGTTGCAGGAAAGAACCAAGCAGAAAGAGGAATCTAGCTCATGAAAACATGTTTGTTTTTATGAATGGGTAAGATTTCTAAATCTATTCTCAAATGTTAATACTTCCCCAGCTAACTTATTCTGAATGCATCATTTCAGATGTTTCTTTCTTGTCATAGATTTTGTTTCAGTAATGACTATTGGTAGCTTAATAAAACAAAGATCTGGAAAATAAGAGGAAGGTATGAAGTAAACTGTAAAGGGGGGAATCAAATCTGACTGAATGCATCTTTATTTATTTCCTACTGAAATAAACTATTGTTAAATCAACATTAACTTGATTAAAATTACATTTAAGTCTTGATTATCTTGATTAGAAGGTCTGGTTGTTTTTTACCATTTTAATTGAAGTGTAATTATCATTGATTGAGGCTGAATTAAATCTTGATGATGAGAACTATAGAGCAGTTTGCTTTTTTCCATTTGTGAGAAATAATTTAATTTGAAGGAAACAAATGACCCATCAGACTGGCTTTTGATAGATGATGAAACTGACATATATATGCTAATATCTGACATAACTTGTCAATGCTGCACTATTAATTATTGCTAATCAGTACTAAAAAATACCAAAGCTTAAATATTCCTCAATTCAACATGTTCTGCCATAACAACAATGACATTAAGGTGTGCAATTTAAACAAAACATGTTTGACTGTGTTCTTCTCAGCAAGCAATAAACAAGAAAGACATGATATTTATCACCGATCACAGTCAAAGCTGTTTGAGGTTCAGTGTGAAGTTCACAATTGAAATGTTTCCATTAAACAAGAAACGCAAGTGACATGTGGATACGTTTTAGAAATCCTTCATCTTCCAACTACATGTCAAATGTTCACATTCTTTAAGAATCTGAATTCTGGATTTTTATTAGCTGGAAATGCAATCATCAAAATTCACAACGCCTGAAATCCATAGCTGTGTATGTAATGAGTCTGTGTCATTTATTAAATTTTTTTTATTAAATTACTGAAATAATTTAACTTTCTGACAATATTCTAATATCTTGTGTTGGATTACTTTCAACAAATTATTGAAAATGTAAATTAACTGATTTTTTTTTTTTATCTTTAAAATACTCTTGGCTTTATGTTTTTGTTCTTCAACAAGCATATAAAATAATACATTTCTATATCTGCTGCAGAATTCATGCCACAAATCGACGCATACCAGCATATTTATTTGTTTATATAGTAGAAATCAGCCTCCTGACAGCATGCAATAGGATGTTTTAAACACTACCTGAATTAGCTGTCAAGGAATGAGTAAACGGGATTTACAGTAGTCAAAGATTTGACTCTGGATGATGAAGTGAACTCACGGGCTGCAGGTCTTTCATGCTGATCGGGAGCTCTCTCAGCGTCAGAAGCAGGTCGAGTTGCGTGCTCAGGTAGGAGATGTTGCACATCTGCAGCAGAGAAAACACGCAAGGCTAATGAGTGCATGGAGAGAGAGTCCAATTATCATACCATCAGACAACCCATTTCCATGTGATTATTCCAACAGATCTAAAACAGCTGCTGAAGCAATTTACACATGTTTTTTCAGCCCATTGCTGCTGTGCAGCAGGTCTGTTGACAGGCTGATTTAACAGACAAACGGAAAGCTTGACACTTTGAAACGATTGGCTGGGCCGCCTGCTTGACCTTTATGTCTGAGCTAACCTCTAATAAATCACTCCACATTGTCAGACCGTCTGGTTGATGCTCACATATCATCTCCCCAAAGCCAAAGGGCAGTTTGTCTGACAGATACTTACGGAAAGACATTAGGATTAGAGCTGGAAATCCCAACCATGTAATCATCTGGATTTTTTTTTTCTGCAGCTATATTAAAGTGTGAATTCCTCCACATGCAGAAGCAGCATTATCTTGCTCATGCTATGCTTTCAAAAAACATTTAATATTCCTGATTTGAACAACGTGCAGTCAGAAAAAACAAATGGCAACCTTTTAAAATAATTGAGTTGTATGCATCAGTGTGAGTTTTTCGTTATTTACATTTAACCTCCATCTTTGTGCAGCCCTGTGATGGACTGCTGATTTGTCCATGCTGTATATTGATGTTGGCTCACAATAAACAGCACCATTTTTGTCAAGCACGGTAGGGGAGGAGTGATGATTTGGGTTTATTTTGTAGTCAGTGAACCTATACATCTTTCAGCCATTAAGTCAAGCAAGTAATTATCTATTTATTAAGTATTCTGCACTCAAATTTGAGTCCATATTTCCAACAGCAGAACCTCAATTCAAAATGGGTCAATGATCCTGCATTCAGCAGCAAATCTACATCTATAGCAGAAAAAGAAGAATCTACTTTATTTATTTTTTTTTTTTTTGCTTAGGACCAGATGTTTATCACTTCATGATATGTTAAACCTTTTAATTCAAATAAGGTGTAATTTCTTCTCACCATATCTGTAAAGATAGCTGCTAGGTATTTAAACATCTGCAGAATGGAAACATTTTCACACATGAGAAACATTCTGTCGGCAAATCACACCTTCAGGTGTTTAACTTTGTCTGAGGTCTTGTTTTGTCAGATTCAGTTATAACAGCACAAAGTTGTTAATTACTATACACTTAATTTACAATTTACAAACTCTGCAGGTTATTTCTCTGCTGGATGAGGATGCATTTGAGCTAGAAAAGAGGAAAAAGTTTCCTTGCATTATTTTTCATACTCTGTGGTGTATGAAAAATGTTGTTTAGCAGATAGTGAAAGCAAACATACTGTGGAAACCTTCCCTCTGCCAGATTTTATGATCCAGTACAATATAAATCACAAAGATTTCCTTCATTGAAATTAAATCTTTTATAAAGATAACCAGTCCTTTGCGATGTGTGCAAAGTGGAGTTTGAATGGGGACGTACCCTAACATTGAATATTTTGTAAAGATTTAATGTTAGGCCTAAAACTGTGACATGTTTGTTCTTTACATACCAAATATGTTGCACAGACGAAAGAATTGCTTTTTCTTTTGAAGTTCTACTTGCAACTTAGTTAGCAAAGAGAACAGATCTGCATGTTTGAAACAAACTCCACTTTTAATTTTAGTGTATTTAATTACATTTGCAATTTATAAAACAAACCCACACATTTAGAAACAACTTAATTTGTCATTAGTTTGTCATATTATAAATGTCAACAGCAATTAAACGTGATTTGCTTAGTTTCTTTTATTACTCTCCATTAATTTAATGTGAAATTTTGTAGTTGTTCACAGGATGACATGAATCTCTTCTACTCAATGCGATTTAGAAGATTTAGAAGACTGACTGATAATGTGTTTTAGTTGTGATTTTATGTGATTGACCAACACAAAGTAATGCTTAATTGTAGAAAATAAACAACGTTTGGTGTTTGCATCCCCCTTTTGTAGATCCCTTCACTATGATACCCCTAATTTCAATCTGGTGCCTTCAGAAGTCACTTTATTAGTAAACAGAGTTCATTGGTGTACAACTGTGCAAACAAGAATATATTATGTGATATTTTGTCATAAATCCCAGTAGAATACACTGAAGTTTGTGGTTGTTTCATAATAAAATGATGTATGAATACCTTCGAGAGATGTTGTAAACAGATATTTATCAGGTTGTGGTCATGATTTGGTACAAAAGCAAATTCTGTGTTTATTGTTGTCGAAAGAAGATAAGCAGGGGATTTCCAGGCTGTCAACAAAAACAGAACTGAACTGTTTTTAGCCACTCTTCTTAGATTTTTGATGTTCTTATTAAAAAGTGAACATTAAGGCAGACAATTTCATGAGAGGTTTTACAACAACTTCTCCTGATTTCAGGTGTCATCTCCTTTTTGAGATGTATTTATGCACTTTTCTAAGACAGAAACTTAAACCTCCAAACTGCACACATTACAAAGGACAGGTAATAGCGTAGAAAGGGGCAGGTACAGAACTGACCTGTTCCCAATCAACTTTGACACAAATTCAAACATGCCGTTTCAAAGTTCTCCATTTTAAGGCAATTTCTGACTTCATCACTTCCCTCTATTGTTGCAATTGCTCCCCTACTTCTTTTAAAAATGTTTTTCCGGCATGGAACTAACAAATAAAAGCCGTTTACAAACCATAAGAACTAAACTGTATGTACCCAGATACATAGATTGGAGTCGGAACAGATCTCCATGAGGACTAAACCTGTTTTCTGCATTTGACAGCCCTTATGTCAGGTGTCAGATATTTCTTGGCAGCTTTATCATCTGCTGTCTTTCCGCTAATCTTCCACATGCAGTCCAGATGATCTCTTTTCCTGGAAGGTGATTACCAAATGGAGCTTGTCATAACACCCACTGTGTGAATGAGGAGGCAGGTGAATAGATTCAAAAAGCGTTTGCACAGAAAACGCTTCATGTGCAGGAGCAGCACATGAAGAAGCTCCTGCACATGAAAGGTACTTGCTGCCTTAATTATAGCAATCATAATGCTCAGTAAGGCAGAACGGTGGCATCCTGATTAGATCTGCTGTGTTACAATAAGAAAGTTTTGGGAATTAACTTTTTCAAGTTTCTGTGTCAAGTTTGCATCTTTATTCAATATGAATGGAAATAAATGGATGTTACAGGTGATGATCACATTAACATTTTTCCTCAATATGTAAATTTGACAGAAAACCACTTGCAATGTCAGCATACCTTCAGATAAAGCAAAAATGAAGACATGCTAACACGTGTCCATTAATTCATCTGGTGGAATAAAGGGAATTGAAATGGATCAATGAAACACATCAAACATAACCGCAGATTCCTACCATATAGAAAACTTTCATGGTTTGTTTAACATTAACGTTTATATGTTTGCTTGTATCATGAAGGTGTTTGAACCATGAGGATACATGTTGCCTCTTCTGTGCACTCAGATTTTTATAGATTGATCAAAATAAATAAAACCTTGAACAAACTTCATCGGTGGAGTCTTTTGAAATGAGTACAAACAGAAGTTATGGCATCCAGCACATTACTTTGTGTTTGTTTATTTGAAACATCTGCACCTGCTACTTTCAGGTTTCTTTTCAAGTATCTTTTTCTGATCAGTGTTTTGCTCCTTAGTCAGAAATATTGTGACGATCACCTTGTTGTGACCTGGTTTGTCATGAAATGATATTGTTTCTTCTTCCATATTGTGGTCAAAAAAGGTTCACTGGAACAGTCAGAAGTTTAGAAATATGTTTGTAACCAATGTTTTAGCCAGTGTATTTTAAACAATAAGGTTATGAAGATCTTAATAGAGTTCTTTCCTAGCCATGGATGTTTGTTGTGTGATTCTTTGCTGATGAGAAATCTTGCTGCAGACTGTCAGTCAGAACTAGATCAGCTGATTAATTCAATTTCATTGACAGAAGGCAGGATTGCTTTCCAAATGTCGACAGAGCTCTGTGATTTTCATTCCCTTCAGTTCTTGTTTTCGTCATGTGTTTAATATTTCTTCAATTTGTCACTCCAGTTTATTGCACAAAACTTGATTTGTGGCCTAAGATATTTACTGAGAAATACACGAGTCAAAACATGTTTACTTCCTTTCTGTCCCCACATCTGTAAAACAGTAAACTGTACCTCCATCATGTACTGGTCCACGACATGCAGCTCTGAAACTGGACCCTTGTGGGATTTATACATTTCCACATCCTCCACAGTGGGGACGTACCTTAGAAATAAAAACAAACACTTTTCAGTTTGGATATGAATGGAATCTTAAAGACACTTCAAATCAACTGTCCTTAAGGGAGGTTTTTACATGTTTCTATGCAAATTGTGATATTTTTGTGTAAATTTCCTTAATTCACCCACACACTTGCTCTTGCCCCTCTGTGTCTCTTGGCTCCACCCACTTTGGTGGAATTTTTCAGAATTTGTCTGGTGGCTGGGTTTTGCTTTCACAGGGGAGTTGGTTACATTTATTTATTTTGTGAAATCCACTTTGAGTTTTAAAGGGTTGAATCCACAGAACAAACAGGTTTCAGACAGTCAGGCACTCCTGAATTTCCCTTTTGTTCTACAAAGTTGTATGATGGGAAGGGGCCATGCTCTTAGACATTTTTAGACTGTCTGAACACTGTTCCTCATATTTAGTTTGAAAACACTTGCATGTTAAGCATAAAATGTTGTTCCTCTATACAGCCACATGACCCCTTCTTCACTTTTGAATGGAAGCTATTGGACTGTCTTACAATGGCCTTGAGATATGATTCAGAACCAAGTTGGGTTGATGGTTTTTGTCAGCTTCTATAAAGCAGCAAATCGCTGATTGGAGTCGCCATCTGCTCTCTGGCACTGAATGTGAACTCTCATTTGGAGTTCCTTCTCCTGTCGCTTCTGAACGTTCTGACCCCAAAACTAAAGGGATTATCTTCTCAACGAGAAAGTCTTCCGCCGTGCTGCTGGAGAACAGCAGTGGCCATTAATATTGCAGCACCTGTTGGGAGTGGTTCTTTCCCCGGGCCTATGCCAGAGCGCATTAAAATATATATTACGTTTTCATAGGATAAATAAATCCAGCACAGGAGAGTACCTTAGATTTGCCTTCCAGGAGGAAAACTTCCCAAGCTACGGAGAAAACTGCAGGTAAGAGCCAGGAAGTGTTCTACCTCCTTTCAGTGCCTTCCTCCTGGGGGCAAGTCAATAGTTTCCATCTCCGCAAATAACCAGAAATAAAACTTTTAGTAGTAAGCCACTCTGATAAAAGGTTATTTTTAGTATTAGAAGGTTGTGAAGGTTGCTGTGTGAACTGTGTCTCCTGTTCTCCATCTAGTTCTGGTTCTTCCTGTTTCACCTCATCCTGGATATCTCACACCAGCATACCTACTTGGGTGGTTTTTGAGCTGCTAGTTTTGTTTACACCCACTCAAGTATCAAACACACTCAGACTAGGGCACATCATGTCATTTGACTCTCAACTTTTGCTTTTTATACAAAAAACTAGGGTTTGAATACAAATTAGCACAAAGTCATACCTTCTCAGAGAGGTGATGTGCTCATCAGACAGACCTCCATCTTCCTCATTAATAATGAACAGTTTGTCCTTCAGCTCCCCTGGTTGCACCGGAAAACTTTTGAGGAAAATGTCTGGAAGAACAATAGATTAGAAAAAAATCAACACACTCAATGGTACATGGAAGTTTTCCTCTTGACAGATAGTCCTCTTATCCAGCGATGAAATGAATAAAAAAAGCCTTCCGAAGACAAAGGGACCTTTACTTAATTACTTTCTCCCTAAGGCCTAGGGCAAATGCACAAATTTGCATCCTATCAAGTTGAAGCGTATGGGATTTTTTTCCCCTTCATTTTGGGTAAAACGTCTGAATGATTCAGGATTCAATGCAAAGGTTCTCTTAGTGTCTGAGACATCATTCCTTCCCCTGAGCTTTCAATTCATCTGATTGGACACTGGAAACAACCAGCTTCTCAAGCAGTGGCTTTTTGTGGTTTACCCTTCATGTGAAAAGCCAATCAAAGCCAAATTATGCTTACATGTTGTTAAAACATTTGAGTTTCTAAAGCTGAATTTGGATCAGATCAAATATGCTGACAAAGTATTTTTTTTGGGGGGGTGGGAGGGTTGTTACAAGAAATACATATAAGGTGAACAATATTCAGTTTTTAGTGCATGTTTTCAGGCTGCAGTAACTGGTAGGCCTAATAAAGCCATAAAAATGTGCATAATGATGTCTGGTGTTTGGAGGATGTCATCGTTATCTGATCTTCTTTCACTTTCTTTTGTTCTTAAATAAAGTTAGCCAAAGATTTGTGTTATTTCGATCGTTGTTACTTGTACATCGGTGGGTTCTTTGTATTTTTTGCCTTGTTGGCCAAACTAAAAACGGACCCGTTTCTTTATTTTGTCTTTCTACTGTTTGCTCCAGTAGAAAGCAAACAGATTATCCCCCTAAAATGAACTCATCGTTGAAAATCCTCTCATGACTGATTGACTCTTCCTCATGCTAAATCATGCTAAATATTTAGCATGATTTTCTTCTGTGTACCTCTGAGTCTTTGACATTGAAGTTGAGACAACAGTTTCCTCACGTGGGCATGTCCCATTTTCTGGGGCATGAAAGATCCAGAAGATGGGTCTTTCAAGTCCCATTTTCAAATGACATCAAACATCCTGAATTGTTTTTTGCACTACTCGTAGTCCAGTGTGTCCTCTCCACCTCTCCCAGCCAAAAATCCCTCACATGCAAACATGTAAGTGCAAATTAAGCCCTTTGTCGACGGGCACTCAGACAAACTGGGCACCATCCTGGTACGTTGGAGCACAGAGACAGAGAGGGTATCCCACTGGGGGCAGGAAGCCACAGGTGTACTTTTAATTAGGACTGCGACATTTCCTGCCATTAAAAAGGCTGCATGCAGAGGGACTATCAAGGTAAATGTTCATATGGGTCAGGCAGACATTCTACATATAAATGCACTTTGGTCATACAATTCTGCATTGAATTTTATCTAATCATTATTGTCGGGAATATTTACCCTTTTTTCATTTTTGGTTCATTTTTTTTTTATCTGTTGCAATTATAAATAGAATAACTGGATTTTATTTTTTTAGTAAGCTATGCTCTGACTGCGGCTCAGCTTTAAAATAATATGTGGGTCTTTAAAAACACCAATCAGCTCCTGGCAAATTGTCACATTTACACTCAAGAGTCTATTTCTTTCTGAACTTCCATGACAGCTTCATTTCGATTATTTTTATTAATTGTCTGAGCGGTAATTGTCAATCACAGCTGCTAGGATAACAATTCAGTTGAAATGCAGAAGGAAGGAATGTGTTTAAAAACTGTCAAGCATGGAAGTTTTTATTCTGAAAGGAGAAAGTCGTGTCCTTTTACCTCATTATTTTACACCCTATCATCATGCATAAAGTCAAAAGGCAGCAAGACCCAAATGCTGTCTATGCCTTTGAATTGCACCTGACTGATTTAAACATTAAACACGATGAAAGCAGACACGGCCTTCAGAAGTGCTGGAATGTAATGTACAGCGATCCAAAGGAAAATCACACAAAAACGTCCTGTCATCTGCTCTGTAGGTGTTTCTGGCTGGCCTGTGTGGTGGTGCCACCCTCCAAACACATTTTACTGATATAGAGACAGAAAGACATAACTAGTAAGCCAGTCAAATACAGGAATTGTAGCTTTTCCAAACATAAAGGGAAAAGAAAGGAGCAGAAGCCTCTTAACTTTTTAAACAGTGTTGCTTTCTATATTTCTTTTAAGTTTCTTTCTTTTTTGAAAGGATCCATGAGGGGTTTTTTGGCTGCTGTGCTGCTACTGTGGTTTATATCGTAAATGAGTGTCAATTAAGTGAAAAACTGTCATGGCTCCCTTTTTTAAAATGCAGGTTTTTTTTTTTTTGTTCGCTTTTTGTGATGTAATGGAATCTTTTGCAATTCAACTGAAGAATAAGAATGAGTAAACTTTTAGTTATTTTAGTTTCTCCTGGTTACACAAGTTTTTGTAGCCTTAAACTAATAGTTTGCTGAATCATATTTTATTTCAACTTTAGACCTCATCGTTGGAAGGCATCTCTCAGCATTATTTCCTGCCAATATTTAGCTTCTTTACTTTTCAAATGTTTTCCAAATTTATCAAATTGTGAGATTTTTCCACTTCCCTCTTTAGTCAACTTCTCAGATTTTTTTAAACAAAATTTAGATCTTGATTCTGGTAAGATCATCCAAAACTTTAATTTTCTTCTGGTGAAAACATCATGTTATTGCTCTGGACGTGTTTCTGATACCTAAGTTCAATAAACTCCAAGTTCCTTCTAAGCAAAGTAAAACCCGGGTGTGATGCTGTCATGTTTTATTTTAGATTTGGTGGTAATCTGGTGCCCTGCTGGGTAGTTTTCCTGTCAATCACATATTTTGTAATTGTCTGATAACAGAAAATCCCCCGACTTTGCCAACTTATTTCCAGAACTGAGTTTAGGGGTTTTTTTTCTGAGCAGATTTGTGCATTGCAGTATTGTTAATATTGCTTTCACCTGGTTAAGAAAAACTATTTTAAAGAAATTTGCATTCTTTCCACTGGATCACCCTAAAATTTTCAATTAAAACATCATCTTCATTCCACAAAAGCAGTCTAGTGTCACTGCTAGGGTTGAAGAAATGTAACTCAAGTTTCCAACACAGTAAACAACTTTAAAAGTAAATTTTTGTGGCCAATATTTCAAACGTAATATGGCACAGACTATTATTTCCTCTCAAATGAAACCAAGTGTTCGTTTGGTCAGTTTGATCATTACTAGACACTCAAAAAAATGTCTAAATCCAGTTTTTCAGTATTTTTAGAGATCTAATTATGAATTCCATTTGAAAAAGATCACAAGGTTTGTGATGATGAAGATCATCAGTAGTGCAGTGCTAGGGGAATTCCAAACACAAGTTGTTTTGCTTATTTATAACCTTTCGTACCTGGATATTAATGTGGTAGAAGAAGAACTCTGAACATTTTCGTCTATGTAACATTACTAAGACCAACGGAATAAAAATCAAAACAGACAGACATGTGGTAATATTCTGCTTTGAGGTATAAAGGTCTTCTTGCCTCCAAGTCCAATTAAAAGTAATTACAAACAAGAGCGCCGCTATTAATCAGGACTTAACCTACATGAGCTGCTAAGATAATAAACCTATAAAAGATTCAGTCGAGTCAAAGCAGGAGCCGGCCTTCCAAAACAAAACAAGCAGATGCTTTTTGCTGTATTTTTAAATTTTTTAATTTAGTTTTTTTTTAGCTGAGATTAAGTGTAATTTCATAAATCAATTCACATAAACATTGTGTTAAAAAGCTTTTTGCTGCTGATGAGCATTGAATGCTATTAATCTGCACGTCATCGTAGGTTTTTTTTTTTTTCTGGATACTTTGTTGCAGCTGGTGTTCATGTTGACCTGTGAAGACAGTTGAGATCAAGCCGCTTAGAAATCCCATAATTCAATGTTTTCTTGAAGTGATTATTTGTTTAGATTTGGTCACATTTTAGTCATAAACTTTAAAGAGAATTAATGTGATAGGCTAATGCAATACAGTTAAGCTCAAAATTATTCAAACTCCTGCCCGATTTAGACTTATAAGTATTTTCCTTCAAGCAAGATCTATTATAAATAATCCAAATAATGTTTTATGTCAAATCAAAGACCTTGCCAGAGAGTGGTTAAAATATTTTGTCCTACAGAACACTAAATACAGCGTAAGAGAAGAATGTAAGTTTACTGTACCAAAGGCAAAAAGTGCTAAAACGATACTTATTCATTCTTGGAGCTCAGTTAGGTAATGTTAGTATAGAGATGAGAATATGTAATTCACTATTTCTTTTTAAAAAGAAAATTTCACGATTGAATGAATGTATTCTTTGGACAAAGGACAAAAAATCTTTTCCTGTTATATTTTCTTTTTGTGATTAAAGGCTGCAAATTTAGGCATGTGAGCATTATGTTCTGTCCTTTTGACAATTTTGCCTTTTTTTCTCTTTCCCTTTCTGCCAGTTGCCCTCAGAAGTTATCTCATTTGTAAATACTTCATGGAGCTCGGCTCAGTCCGATGACAGGAAGTACAAAGAATATGGAGGAACTTCAAACCTACTAGGACATGGCCAATGAAAGTATGAATCAGAGAAGCTGCCAAGATTCAAGACTATTGGTCAAGTCATGCAGGGGACAAAGTAAATTAGTAGAAAAAGGTGTTGTGGTCAGATGAGACCAAAATTGAACTTTTTTTGATACACAGAAAACTTACACTGCACTGCTGAACACTGCTCTCACTGATTTACAATAGTCGAGTTGAAGTGCATATCTACATACCACTGAGATATTTAAAGAATAATGGGTTAAAATGCAACATCAACATGTGCAATGCTGGTAGAAACACAACTTAAAGGAGTTGCAGCTGTTCTTACAATGAAAGGTCAGAATGGAAGTACAAAATGAGCTTTTCAGAAATTCATTTAAGAGAAATAAAAAAAAGAAATGTCTTTTTTTCATTTTTGTTATGCCCTACTTTGTCTCTGTTGCTTAAAATACCAATGAAATACATTAAGGTTTCTGATAATGATCAGAAAATTTGTGGAAACAGTTCAGGAGATAAGAATGCTTTGATCCACAGGCACTGTAAGACTTCCACCTCTTTATCTTCACACTCTGTTGTCTTTTAACGTCACTTTGAGAGCAGCGGGGTTGAGACGCTACATACTTGTACTAATTATCACCTCGCTATTTTTTTGTTAATTATTAATTGTATACTTGTAATACTATCTGATCAAGATAGAGTCACATTGTTAGCCAGGGTGTTTCTGTAAGTGTAAAACAAAAACAGAAAAACTTGCATTCAAGTTTCCCAAGTGTGATGGAATCAGATAAAGAAAGTGTGAAAGAATGAAACCTAAACTGCATGAACTGCGCAAACTTAGCCAGGTTTCTGGGAGATGAAGATGCAGCAGAACCAGGGACGGTGTATGTGGAGACTGTAAGGACTTACAGAGAGGAGGAAAAAATGAATTCCTGATAATAATTATATCCTACAATGTCAAATGTATGTATACCACATGAAAGTGTTTTTTTTTTTAAATGTTTTATCATGTTACTAGCACAAAATCCCAATAAAACATATTGAACTTGGTGCAACAAATGGGGAAAATCATGGACTATAAATCCTTTGTAAGAACACACAACTATTGCACTCAGTATATTTATAATTATTCATCCCAACAAACACAATAAGTGTTTACATCCCTGCTGTTACTTGCAGTTTTTTATTTCTTGTAAATTGTATGTTTTTCCTGCATAAATTAGCATTTTTATCTTACTCAGTTGCACACTTCTTTTAATCTGAGTGTGCTATTTTTATTAAGTGTGCAGTATCATTTTCTTGTGTTGTAAATTTGCTCCTACTGGACAGTCTCTAGCTTTTATTTTTTGTTTTGATATATTACTCTTTTTCTAAATATGTTTGCTTCCATTTGCCTGTCACTTTGCTACTGGTACACTTTAATTGCCCCACTTAAGGACAATAAAGGATATTTCTGTTTTACTCTATTTAAGCTTTCTATGATAACATTATACTTTTCATTTCAGATGTAAAGGATACCTTAGTCATGTATTAATATTTCTGTATTTTTAAATTTACTGCGACTATAGAATGCTTTTCAAACATTAACAGCTCAATGTGTGGTATTACTGTATTTATGTGTTGCTTTCCTAAATGAACGACTCTGAAAGTACTGTAACACATCCAGTTTACTGAGATTTTCAGTGCTGTAAGCTAACTTTTGCGAGGGTTCATTATGCTTCAAAGCAAAGATGTGACTTTCTGTGCTGATGCAAAGAGGAACAAAGGAAAGAGGAACATCAAGCCAGGCTTACTCCCTTGTTTATCAAATGTCAATTTTTTTCAAAAAGCTGGAAGCAGAAGGATGCATGGCCCCAGGTTGCCTGCAGGCTGTCATCGCTCAGTTCCTGACACAACCAAAAGTTAACAAGTCTGGGAGTACTATCAGTGTGTTCTGCATGAGGGCCAGAAATCTCTGCTGCTGTCTCTTAGACATCCTCCTATTTATATTTTATAAACATGTGAACTCCAATTATGTTGCCAGTCTGCACATTTGCGCTGATTCCATTTAGCAGCCGGCCACTGTCACATCTGTACGTCTTACCATCTGGGACTGAGCTACAAGCAGGACCTCTGAGGGGAAGTTTTGGAAATGCTCTCCCTCGGGTGAGGTCTTGAAATGTACAAGTCTCAGGTAATCAAAAGTGAAAAGCCATTAGATGCGAGATAGAATATCTTACAATCAACTGTGGCTCTCCTTCAGGGGCAAGCATGACCCTAAAGATTGGTACAACACTGTCCCCTGCTGGCAAGCATAAAGAACAACAATCTGTTCGCTTCGCAGCCAAAATGTCCCAGTCTTCAATGAGAAAATCAGGATTTGCAGAATTTCCAGTTAACCTGTTTTTATTTCACACTGCTCCTCAATTCACCTCCAAAGTTTGTGAGCCATCTGTTGCTTTCCTGCAGGAATTATTGTTACTGTTTGCGTGGTGCTGCCATCTACTGGGTGGGAAGAGGTAGCCTATCACTACCCATGGAAATAAGCTTTTTTATTAGACTTAATCCGGAAGAATTGGTTTCGCAGCAACAGGAAATGAAAAATGCTGATCTTCCTAATAAGGTGTTAATATTCGCCATGCTGCTGCAAATGCTATTAAAAATAAACTCAGAAATGCAATCAGAGAGGAGTTACTCACTGAAGTTGTGCGCAATCTTCTGGTTGAGCATGATGTGCTGCGAACTACTTGAGTCCGTTGTGCCAAACGATCCCACATCTTTGACAGCGAACTGCTCGTACAAACGTGATGTGTTGATTTCAGGCTTCTTGCTCTTTTCCTGAACCCAAAATGTCTTTGCAATCTGTTGGAAGAAAAATATTATAATCCGGTGGAACAAAACACATACACTCTGCTCATTTATTAGTGCCTCTGGCAAAGTAAGAAGCAGTCCGTTAAAAATATTCTTTCATTTTAATAGGATAAATGCAGGCTGAAAAATGCACCATTTATTTGAGTCAATTTATTCAGTGGGGGTGGGAGGAATCCGATGCAAATAAATAGAGCTTTTGTAGAATCATTGGTGGGGGGAAAGTTGCTCCAAACATCACCAATAGTTACTTTTGCTAACAGAACAGAACATTTATTCTTCACCTTTGACATTTTGTGTGATTGGAGCATACAGAAAAATTGCGTAGGTCTCGAGAAATTAAATTATTGTGAACATGTCTGACCATCTCTAATTCCAAACCTCTTTCCAACCCTACTTTCAACCCTAATTCCAATTCCTTTCAAGAATTTTGGGGAGCTTAAGGACTAGACTCAGGCTTGAGTCAATGCATCCTAGATAACGTATTATATATGGACTAAGGAGAAAAGAGCTGAACAGCTGCTCAGTTTTCCAAAGCAAAGTTTGCATTTAATTTAGAAATCAATGTCTCGGAGTCAGGATGAGGAATAGAAAAGCACAGAATCCATGATGCTTGAAGACCAGTGTGAAGTTTATATAGTCAATTATGTTTGGTGTGACATGTCTTCTGCTGGGTTTTATGAAGTCCACAGTTAACTCAGCTGTCTACCAGTTAAATTTTAGAGCAATTATTTCTTCCTGCTGCTTACAAACTTAATGGAGATGCTGAGTTACCAGCCCACACAGCCCAAGGTACCAAAAGTTGGTTCAGTGACCAAGTAAATTCAGAGATAAATTTCAGAGTGTCCAGCTGGTCAAGAGGAAGATGAGAGACTCCAGATGCAGCAATGCACATGACCTGCAGGCAGTTATCTTCCATTACATCTCAGCAGTATCACATGCTACATTTCACTGACTCAGTCATTCATGCAAAAGGTGCAAGATCAATTAGTGGGAGCACAGAAATGAACATACTTCTCAGAACCCTGATGTGTCAGTTGAAATTATCCTCTCTGTTGATCTTATTTTGGTATTTTCATTATGAATGTTGACTCTTCATCATGTATAAGCAACGATCTTCAACTTTCAAAGAAATAAGTGCTTGAAATATTTTGCTCTCTGTAACAATTACAATGAATGTGTGAAAACAAATAAAAACATTTTTTTAATGAGAATCAAATTTTATAGGTGTAATTGTAGAACTTACAGGCTGAGATAAGAAAGTTTAGGAAGAGTGGAAACTTTGTGATGATAAATAAGAAATAGTGTAGTGAAGAAAATATGAGGTAATTGTAACTGATAATATCTAATTTTGCAATATAATGATATCAAAATGTTATTTATTCAGTATCTTCTGGTGAAAGAATGTCAAGTAAAAAAGATGGCTACCTTCTCATGCCCAATGAGGTCCCAGTGAAAGGCCTTCGTCCGGGATTTTTTAAGAGTATTTTGTTTAATAGGCAGAGGTGGTGGAGGTGGGATGAACTGGGGTGGAGGTTCTTGCACATTTGGCGAGGCTGGTTTTTGAGACTCCGGGCCTGAAGGAAAGGACATGAGGCCAGCATGGCTGGGTGAGTGTGGGGGGGACAAGGGTAATTTTGAGACAGACGCATAAGGAGAGGTTGGAGACAGGAGGGGACTCAAATTGTCTGATCCAGCAGTAACTTGAATGGCAGCCTTGCCAATGCGGGGTTTTGGGACTGGCTTTGTGTCAGCTGAGGGAGAACTCGGACCTTCTTCCTCAGGCAATGAGCACTCTCTTTCTCCGGATGTGGAATCTGAATTTTTATCGTCCTCTGGAACAAAATCTTCAGCAGCAAATCCACCACTGTGCTCAAGATCTGTGTCACTGTCGTCAACGTCTTCAGGTATACTGATATGTTGAAAGCTCTTTGATTCTGCAAACATCTGTTCAGATCTGGACTTCCTTTTCCAATGTGAACACAGTTTGTGGATGGCTTTGACCCAGGCATCGCGCTCCTTCTGCACAGCACCAGGAGAAACTGCTTCCTCTTGTGCAGGGACTTTAAACCTGCAACAGATCAATAAAACTTCACCCAACTTCCCTGTTTAACTGAAACACTCTGATAAGTAACTCTAAAGACATCAAATTTATTACACTTCAAATCAAACCAGGCTGGACAATAACTGCAATGTGCAAAACAACCTCAAAGTTTGGTATTAAAATGTCAGACTGAAATGAACAGAGTTAACACATTCTTACTTACTGATACTCATTTCTGTGGGTGATAAGAACAAATGTGTCATAGCCATATGGTTTCTGTACACTGGTGTCACCGTCTGATAAGTGAATCACAGTGGAAAGAGGAACTGAGGATGTCACGTCGCCATCTATGTTGCTTCGTTGCCTGAATGAGACGAGTGTCAGCTCCCCTGGGTGGAGCTGAGCTTTGTACCTGAAACAAAGTAAAGGGGAAATATGTGGTGAAAGGTGAAACAACCATCTTAACTGTAAGTTGTAAATCTATACAACCCACAAGTTTTATGACCTTGTCGGAACTGCTGCACAGTGTTTGTGTAGGTAACCCACATTAACATCCTCATTGTTTTAAACTGTAGTTGTGAGGTTTGAGTCATATATTTGTCTGCTATGATCTAACAACATGCAGTTATTACATGTTGCAAATTTAATGCAACATGTAATAACTGCCAAACTGATTTCTTTTGCTTAAACTTTGACATAACCCTGTCTTGGCCCTGAAGAATTAAAAAAAAAAAAAAAAATCTATCATTGAATAACTTTGGTTTTGTAAATGGAATGAAATTTATCCAAGTGAAAAATAGCACTTGTAAACAATTTAGAGCTGTTTGTGTTGTATTAACCTTTTCTATTTTTGTTATTGTCTCCTTTTAAAAGAGGCACTTTGTGAATGCATATGTTCTGCTTACATGACTATCACTCTGACTATAACAAACAAGATAAGTAACCTTATATGCAGATGATACACAGCTCTACACAACAACATCACCAGGTGACTATGAACCCATTCAAGCATTGAGTCGTTGCACAGAACAAAGCAAAGCATGAATATGCATCATATTTTAATGATAAACTTTAAAAAGCATTTATTTGTTCTCAAAGCAGGCAAGACTCAGAATGAAGAGACCCACAATGATTTCACTAACATCTCCTCAGTGATCAGTTTTATTGTATTTTTTTTTTTTTTATAGTCGGCAACACAATTGCAAAGCAGAAAAAATTAAAGGGAGACACAATAATGGGGATTTCTGCACCCAGTTGTCTCAGTTTGGTCTAAAAAACCAGACAGATAGGACCAAACAACACTAAAAAGCTGGAGGGTGCAGCTCTCAAGTACTGAAGTTGGGTAATTCTGCTTTAGGGCATCTTAACTAGAAGAACAGCTGCAGACTGTTGAGCAGACTGGAATTATTTTATATCATTGTGGCATTATTCATGTACTAAACGGAGAAATGAGCCAAGAGGGAAAACAGTTAAGATCCAGTTATAGTAACTATTCTTGAATAGATAGTAAATATGTCTCTCAAATTCAGGGAGTTGACATCAGGGCCTGCACGAGTCTGTGGTCAAGATTTCTTAAATTTCTCTGTTTTATAAAAATTTGCATTTTTATAAAATTTTGTTCTTTAAACTGTAAATTTGAAATAAGAAGGATGCATTCGTACTTCACCCATTTGAATGATGCCAGTCCTCCTCTGTGCAGTAACAATACGCCTTCTTTAAGGCTCTGTGATGCTTGAGGCTCCTGCTGCGATTCTGAGTTCTCACTTTCAGAACCGCTGTATATGTTTCCATGAATGATCTGATTCACAAGCTGCATCATCTACACGACAAAAGAATGCTGTAAGCATGAAAAGTCTCAATGCATTCATTTGTATGATGATTTTTACCTTGTGTTTGTCCTCCAGCGATGTAGCCTCCAGTTCATAGTCGTGGTGTCCTTTAAAAGAAATGGAGAACCTGGAACCATCCCCATCATCACAGCTCTTGACAATGGAGAAAGGCAGCTGACGCTTGACGATGCCTCTCTCTATGCTGCACAGCAGTTTGGTCTTGAAATCAATCTAGATGCACACAAGGTTGGAAGTTAGTGGATATGAGACTGGAAAAAAGTCTCATGGAAAAAACAGACAAAGATTTAGAGAGGAGCAGCAAAAGAAAATGAGGTGGATAAGCAGTGCTTGCAAGTGGGTGACTGTGTATCCAGATCAAGTTACTGTGAAATAATGTCTCTGCCAGCCAGAAATTGACTTGTTAGGATGTAGTGACAGCACTACAGCAACAGTCTGCAGTCAGAGGTTTCTTCAGATTTGCTGCAACGCTGACTGCTACTGGAGGTCCTCCCTGCCCACATCATCACCATCCTAACAATTATTTGAGGATACTTGGATGATATGCCAGTATTTAATTTTCTGTTGGGATAAATAAAGTATTTTTGAATTAAGATTGTAATTAACAAAAACAACTGTGATAGGGGTCAGTGATAAAAGCACCTTGCTCAATTTGGATTTTTATTTGTAAAACGTTTTTCAAAAGTCATGTTGGGTTAGTCCAGTGGTTCCCAAACTTTTTCTTCTGCGCCCCCCCAGTGGTTTCCAAACATTTTCTGCGCCCCCCCTATGGATTACAAATGGCTGTCTGGTTGAAACGACGCGTGTGATGGGGTGGAGGGGGGGGGGCACCGAATTTTTTGGGGGCAAAATGAATGTACGTAGCTGAAAATAGACACCAACATCAGTATCCTGCAAGGTACTTGTTAAGCTTAAGGTTCTGTATTGATATTAGCTAGTCATCTTTTAGCTAACATTACCTGCATCCAACAGTTTTACTCAACTCAGTCTGTTAGTTTGGTGGAAAAACTGCGAAA